CTCATCACTGCCTGTCTATATAGACCTCCAGGTCTTCTATGGTTTGTATTGAGATTAAAGGCATGTGTCGCCATGCTGGCTATGTCTTTGAACACGCAGACTCTGCCTGCCATGTGTTCAGATTAAAGGCATGCACCACCACCGCCAGATTTCTGCTATGGCTTGCTATTAGCTCTGACCCCTGGGCAACTTTATTTATTAACATACAAATAAAATCACATTTCAGCACAAATAAAATATCACCATATAACTAATTATACATGAAGCATCCAATGTACGTTTTACATACTTGTCTGCACAATTCAGTAAAATTGAATCAACCAGCACCAAAGGATTCAATTTAATATCTCTACTTGGTCTAAACATGATGTTAATAATATAGAATAGCCAATCACTGACAAGGTCACAATCATCCTTTCTTAATAGTTTGTGGGCTGTACTATGTCTGCTGTGAACTATTTCTTCCACTGTTTTGTGAGTGGTTCTTTTGTATTCATAATAAACTTCTACAATTTTTCAATTTCATCTGATTTTGTATTTGACATGTGTTTATACATAGTTTTTCATTTTTTGTCATTTTTAATAGAGTACTTGGAGGCAGAAAAGATAAATGTCTATAGTCAATGTGCCTATGAAGCCAGAATATTTTATCTTTTTTTTTTTTTTTTTTGGTTTTTCGAGACAGGGTTTCTCTGTGTAGCTTTGCGCCTTTTCTGGAACTCACTTGGTAGCCCAGGCTGGCCTCGAACTCACACAGAATATTTTATCTTTAATAAAACATCTTAGTAAGTACTTTCTGATTAAATTTTTGAAGTGAGGAATATACAAAACCATGACACATAAGCTTACAGTTCAGAGCAAAGAACTGATAGACTTTCTTTGATTTCCAGGCTTTCCAGTCTTCTTCTCTTCATATCTATAAAATAAGTTTATTATCAGGCTTGTATATCTCTAAGAATCAAGTTTTGTTTAATGAATTTCTTAAGCTAAATTCCCTTGGAAACATAAGTTTATAATTTTGAGAGAGAGAGCAATGAGAGGGTTGTTAAGTAGGTAGAGATTATGTGAGAGGTGTTGAGGGAAGAGAAAGAATATGATCAATATTTTGTATGAATTAATTAATTAATTATAATATATATGTATAATTACATATCCTAAGTAGTTGATAATTATCAAACAGAATTTCATATATCTTATGTACAATGTGAGGTTTTAGAAGCTATTCACATTGTCTGATGGCAAATTTAAGTCAATTACCAAACAGATTGATTTACATATTATTTTCTGTTAGAGAAACAAATTCCACTCCTAAAATTTACAAATATAGTACATTATTATTATAATACGATGTTGCTCTATATATTTCTTGAAATTCTCCCTTCCCTCATGTGGAAATCTAGTATCCTTTGAGTACCATTTGCTCGTTTATTTTCACCTCCATACAGAATTTTTAGATTCCAAATATTTTTGGTACAGTGGCACTAATTCTTTTGTCATTGACTTCCTTCATTTATACTGAACCATGATGTGAAAATATTTCCTTCCTTTTTAAAAATTAAATAATATTCCCTCAGATGTGCTATCAGAATTTGTATTTTGTAAACATTTATTTGCAGATATTGGCTATTGTATATAAAGTTGTACTAAACCTGGTAATGATAACATCTTTAAAATACTGATTTTTACTTCTCTTGTGTATATAAATATATATATGTGTGTGTGTGTGTCCTCAAATGAGATTAAAGAATCACAGGAGGCTTTTATTTTTTTTTGGGGGGGGGAATCAGGAATTTCCATGCTATATTCTATAATTTCTGTACTAATTTATATCTTCACTAGCATTTTTATTAATTTTTAAAATTAATTTTACATACCAACCACAGTTTCCTCTCCCTCCTCTCCTCCTATTAGCTCCCCCCACTTCCTTTCTACCCTCCAATCCACTGCTCAGAAAGGGTAAGGCCTCCCATGGGGGTCAACAAAGCATGTCTTAGCCCTTAAAGGCTAGGCTGACAACCAAAATTATCCCTAGCATTTTTAAATGTTCTCTTTCTCTACATAATCACCAACATGTTTACTTTCATGTTTTTAAATTACGTATTCTGAAACTCATGAGATAATTTATTGTTGCATTTAAGTTATATTTCCATTATTATTAATGATGTTTTGTGTATTCTCATATATGCAGACTGTCTTATTTTGAAGTGTGTCTCTTCAAGTCCTCTAGACAATTGTAAATGAATACTTTTGGGGTTTTTTTAATATAAAGTTGTTAGAGGTACCTATATGTTTTAAAATTTTGACCCCTTATCACTGTTAAGTTTATAAAAATATTTTTCAATTTAGTAAGTTGGGTATTTACTTAATTGATTTTTCTTTTGTGCTTAAAATTTATACTTTGCTGAAATCTCAGTTTTTCTTTTTGGTTCTTTTGGAGATAGGGTTTCTTTCTGTATCCCTGGCTCTTCTGGAATTCACTTTGTAGACCAGGGTGGCCTTGACCTCAAAGATTCATATGTCTAAGCCTCCCTAGTGCTGGGATTAAAGATGTGTGTGCATTACAATGTCTGAAGAAATCTCATTTTTTCAATGATCAATTTTGTTTTTCTGCAGGCCTGAAACGTGTGTGGTGTTGGAAATTTTTATCCACAATGTTTGCTCTTAGGGTTAGAAGTTATGTCTAATGGAATGGTCCTAGAGTCTTTATCTTCTTGTGCTTGAGTATACTCAATACATTCAACCATAGAATTTAGTCTTTGGGTGGTGTAGGTTGATGGTGGCCATGGAGACTGTAGGGCTTGCATCTTTGTTCCAAGAGAACAAGTGTGGGGTCTGGATTTGTGAGACTTGTCTTGATCCCTCAGTCCACAAGTTCTTGCCTTACACTAGAGTCTGTTCAAGTGGGGCCTGGTCCCATGGTCATCTGATGCTTTGCACATAGGGTCTTGTCTTGAGACTAGGGCTAGCTTGATTCTAGGACTAGCATGGAGTCTGAGGTCTAGAGCCAAGATATTCTTGTGTTGGTCCAGACACAGGGTGCTCATACTTTAAAGTCTAGTATGGGACTCAAACACAGAAGATGAAGTACAAGGTATAGGTCTGTCAGTTCTATTCACTCCTGGAATCTATTGGGTGAGGCATGGACTTTGGGTGTGTTAGAGTACTCCTGGAACTTGACTATCCTAGAACCATAAAATTTGGGGCCTTCTTGATATTGAAACTGGTCTGAATCTCATTTCCAGTGATATTAACCAGAGATTGGTTCTGTGGGTGCTGGCCTGGTGCCTGGGACAATTAGATGCTGGGGACTTCTAGGTTTACTCTGAATTTCACATGAGTCTATAGACCCTGCCTGAGAAGCAGATATAGGTCACAGGACTGGAAGGATCCAAGCTGGATCTGACCTGAAAGTCTGCACCCTGAGGACTAGTTTTCATAGTACTGGGTGCTGTGCAAGCAGCCAAGGGAAGGAAAGAACAATTACACCTACCCAGCTATGACACCAAAGTACCACAATGACCAGCTTGGCAAAATACTGCTAAGCATGTTTGTGGAATAATTGTTTTGTACACCGTGAAGATGTGTCTTTGCCAAGGTGCCTTCTGATTGCTTTAATAAAGAGCCAAATGGCCAATAGCTAGGCAGAAAGAGATTAGACAGGAATTCTTGGCAGAAAGAGAGAAATAGAGATGCATCTAGGCGTGTGACAGACACCAGGGGACGTGGAAAGGGAGCAGGAGGTGCAAGATGGAAGAGAGGTAAAAAGCCATGAGGCAAAACATAGATTGATATAAATGGGTTAATTTAAGTTATAAGAGCTAGTGAGACAAGCCTAAGCTATAGGCTGAGCTCTTCATAATTAATAGTATGTCTCCATGTCATTTTTTTTATTGTGAGCTGGAGACCCAAAGGAAAAAAAATCTGGCTACAAGTATGCAACAGCAGCACTTACCTCTTGGCCATAACCTACAGAATACTGAGGATGGTGGCACATGTCTTTAATCCCAGCATGCAGGAGACAGAGGCAGGGGGATCTCTGTGAGTTTGAGGTCAATTTGGTCTACACAATGGTTTTCAGTCTAGCTAGGTCTAGACTGTAAAACCTTGTTCAAAAAAAGGAGGTAATGAAATTGGGCAGTAATTAAAACTGTGATTTTAGTGTACCTATTGTCACAAATTGTGTATTTTGGCTCAGCGCTATGCTGGGAAGGATCAAGAAGTGAGTGGAATGTCCAAATTATCTCTTTGCTTGTTCACTGGCTCACTTACAAGGTGAGGGGAGCTCTGCTGGCCTTGCTGTCTTTGCCACGTTTCTTTTGTTATAATAATTTTTTATTTATTTGTTTTTCATTTTACATACCAACCCCTGTTCTCCATCTTTCCCCTTCTCCTGCTTCCCCACAATTTTCCCTCATTCCACCCCCCCGCCCCGTGGCAATGGGACCAGGACTTATCCTGGATACACGAACTGGCTTTATTTTTTTAAATTTTTAATTCATTTTACATACCAACCACAGAAACCCCTCTCATCCCTCTTCTGCTGTGGGATGGTCTGTATGTCAAATTGCTCTGATTGGCCAGTGGCCAGGCAGGAAGTATAGGTGGGACTAACAGAGAGGAGAATTGAGAGAACAGGAAGTCGGGGGGGGGGGGAACACTGCCAGCTGCCCCTATGACAAGCAGCATGTGAAGAAGCCGGTAAGCCACGAGCCAAGTGGCAAGGTATAGATTTATAAAAATGGATTAATTTAAGATATAAGAACAGTTAGCAAGAAGCCTGCCACAGCCATACAGTTTGTAAGCAATATAAGTCTCTGTGTTTACTTGGTTGGGTCTGAGCAGTTGTAGGACTGGCGGGTGACAGAGATTTGTCCTGACTATGGGCCAGGCAGGAAAACTCTAGCTGCACTTTTCCATATCCCCCCTCCCCTCCCAATCCTCCCCCCATGCCTCCTCCAAAAGAGTTAGTACTTCCATGGGGGAACAGCAAAGCCTGGTATATTCAGTTGAGGCAGGACCAAGCTTCACCCCCATGCATCAAGGCTGAGCAAGGTGTCTCACCATAGGTAATGGGCTCCAGAAAGCCACCTCTTGAGCCAGAGATAGATCCTGATCCCACTGCCAGGGGCCCCTCAAACAGACCAAACTACACAATTGTCTCCAGCATGCAGAGGGCCTAGTACAGTCCCATGCAGACTCCACAGCTGTCGGTCTAAAGTTAGTGAGTTTCCATGAATTTGGTTCAGTTGTCTCTGTAGATTTCCCCATCATGATCTTGACCACACTTGCTCATATAATCCCTCCTCCCTCTCTTTGACTGTCTCCCAGTGCTCAGCCTGGTGCTTGATTGTGGATCTCTGCACCTGCTTCCATCAGTTACTGGATGAAGACTCAATGATGACATTTAGGGTATTCACCTATCTGACTACCTGGGTAGGCCAGTTCAGGCACCCTCTCCACTATTGCTAGTAGTCTAATCTGGCGTCAACTTTGTGGATTCCTGGGAATTTCCCTAGCACCAGTTGTTCCCTGGCCCCATAATGTCTCCCACTATCAAGATATCTCTTTCATTGGTTCCCACTCTGTCCCCGCCCCCAGGTTGACCATGTGCTCATTCCCCATCCCCTTCCCCTGATTGCCCCCATCACCCCCAGTTTACTCATGTAGATATCCTCTGTTTCTCCTTCCCAAGGTGATGCATGCATCCCTCTTAGGGTCCTCCTTGTTTCCTAGCTCAAGAACTGCCTTTTTAGAGCCCATTCCCTATGGTGCAATGCCTTATTCTGCCTCGTTTCTATGATAACACTTGTGAAGAGGGAGTTTCTCTAAGTCTACAAAACTAAGATCACAGAAATTAACAGAGAAATCTGTCATTTATCACAAGCATGAGCTCCTTGTCAGGTCCCTCTTTGATAAAGAACAGGCCTAAAACAAAACTCCAGGTTGTTGTATAGTCTAATTTTTTTTCATTATCGCCACCAGAAGGGTTTCTGAGAAATTTCAAATTAAAATGCATCTTAAATCTCAGGTTACCCCTCCTATCAGTCTTATCTACTATGTTGATCAGAGAGAGCAGTTAGGAGCCTCACTTCATAGAAGAGACACACTAAGTTCAATGACTTGAGAAGAAGGTTTTGTTTTAATGTGTCCTTTAGAGGTTTTTTTTTAAGTGCTGCTTTCCTATACTAAAGAAGAATTATTCTCAGCAAATATTGCAAGACAGCTAAGTTCTACTTCCTTAAGACAACATGTTTTGACATCCCCGAAAGTTGCAAATCAGAAGAAAAGCAGGCAGCAGACAAACTCAACTCAAAATGCTAACAATGCCTATGATGCAACCTGGAATGAACGCTAAACAAATTAAACTCCTGAGACCAGCACACCATGGAAGACTTTTGAACATGAGTTAAGTACAGAGAGCTGCTCTCCAGAACTGCTTTTTCAAACATTAAAAAGTTAATTGAGCATTATTTTTGGGAGGGAGGAGATGAAGATGGATTAGAAGATTCTACACATAGGGAAAAGATTCTAATTAAGAGACTTTAAAAGATATTGTAGATGTTTATTTGATACTAGCAACGTGGTCAGTTATCATAAAGTATTTCTCTTCATCACAAAATAGTAAGGATTTTAAAAATCCAAAGGGAAAAATCTAGAAGCTTTCACAAAATTTTTTGAACCGAGCCCTAATTCTCCTAAAAAGGGTCTCCAAAATCTGGAGTAGAATTATCATACTCCATAATGAAATGCTTGAGTTCTTCAACACGTTGCTCACCTATTTCATGCAAACTCTGCTTCATTGCAAACTGTATAGATTTTTCTAATGAATGATCCTTTTCAACCAGCCTTTCCACCACCATCCCGAAAATTTCACAGACTTGTCGGTAAACCTTCTCAATCTCAGTGATTTTTGATGCAATCGCTTTTGAGCGAATGCTAAGCTGGCTGTCTTCACACAATTCTGGGCCAGCTGTTGTGTTTGACTCGGGTTCTTCTGTCTGGTTGATACGTAATGGTGCCTTGGATCCCGTCTCAAACTCGGAAATTTCAGCCAAGTTATTTTCTTCTGACTTCTTGGGATTTTCATTAGCCCTCTTGCTTGCAGCATCAGCCTGTTCCTTCTCAGTCAGCCGGCTGGGGCTTTTTAACACCTTGGATGAAGAACTTGAGGGCACAGTATCTCTTGATGTTTTCAAAAACTGGATAGCTCTCTCTTTACATCTACGTTGAGACTGGTGGAAGGAGCGCATCCTGCTTCTACTGCTGAGATTGGATCCAAATCTGCTGTGTAGGGAGTCCTTCCCGCCCACACGTGATTCTCTCAAAAAAGGAGTGCCCCGTTTATGGTGAGAGTGTTGTCTTGAATAATGGGAAGAATAGAAACGTTTTCTTCTAAAGTCGTTTCTCATGGCCCTGTATTGAGGCTGTTGGCTTGTGGAATACTCCTCTCTTAACCATTGGTAGCCATAATGGCCTCTTTTGTAGGGTGGGGCTCTTCTTGGATCCTGAGTAAAACAACGGCCCTCGTCCCATTCTTGGCAATCAACGTGCCAGTAGTATCTACCGTAGCCTGCTTCGTTGGGTCTGGCTAGCAGAGAAGATCTCTTGTCTCCCAGAGGCGGTCTCTTTGGCACATTAATTAATCTATGGTTGCCATCACTGGGATGGCTCCAAGGAAGCACTTGTTTTCCTGGAAGTCTCTTGTAGTCATACCATCCCTGCGCTTGTTTTCCTGGAAGTCTCTTGTAGTCACACCATCCCACCGCTTGTTTTCCTGGAAGTCGCTTGTACTCATACCATCTCTGTGCTTGTTTTCCTGGAAATCGCTTGTAGTCACACCATCCCTCAGACCACATCTCAACTCTTGTGGAAGCCACTGTACTTCGAACAGAAATGCGTACTTCCCTTCCTGTTCACTTTCAATTTCCAACCATACTCATGGCTCAGCTCAAGAATCTGTTATTGTCTAAAAATTCGTCATCGGAACTCTCCAACACGTACGTTCCACCGATCCTGTTGAAACCGCACCAACAGCTCTCTAATTAGACTTAGGCCTACTCAACAGCACGGAAATCATGCCCAGTCCTTGAAAGCTAGGAAATTAGCTGGGGCTAGTGAGTTCATGCATCATAGAGGAGAATGCAGTACCACCACTTGACTAAATCAGTACAATTCCTAAGTGAATCCCACTCACTACAAATAAGTGTAGCTCTTACCCCTCACCAAAAAAAGCTTCTCTTTGCAACAGAGAGAGACCATTGCAGAAAACCACAACCACTCATCTTCAGAGAACAAGTGATTGTGGGATGTCTAGCCCCAGCATACACACACACACACACACACACACACACACACACACACACACACACACACAAACAACAAC